GATAGAGCAGATCGCCCGGCCGGAAAACCCGTTAATTATTTCGATAATTGCGAACGGCCGCGGTTCGTTTCGGTCGTTAATACTGTCCCGAAGTGTTTCGGACGCACGTTCGAACGGTTGGTCGATTAAAATACTTTAATTGTCCATGAGGGCAACTTTTCTCCCCCGTTCTGGTAACGAACCCGACGCAATTTCCCGGTAACGAACTCTGACCTAAGCGAAACGACGGCACCCCGACGCCACTTCCGCCGAGGAAATATGTATTTGCATCCGCCCGCGCCCTTTTTCTTTTACCATCGTGGAACAATATAATTGGAGATCAACGGCTCGACTGCCTCGATCGCGGCAAACTCGTTTTAACTTTAAGCGCTCGAACTTCCTTCTTTTTTTTTTGGGAAATACAGAGAAATTATCGTGTAAGTTACAACGGTTAATCCACATACAGTGGTTGCCAAAAGTCTCTGGTTAAATTATAATTTCATCGTATTATTGTCGTAACTTTTGCCAGGTCGGTAGTTGTTCGAGAAACAGGAGAATGAATTATTTTTATGCAAGAATATTTTTAATGTCCTTAATATGGGTGTATCAAGAGTTTATTCGTATCATGTGTTTTTAAAAAGATATTTTAAAGTTACTGATTGACCGGAAAATTTTGACAGCCATTGTACATAAGATATACTGTATATTATGCAACTGGGAAAAAAGTGCATTCGCAAGTGTCGCGTGCAATCACATCGATAATTTATATGGAAAGCAATATTGTCTACTTTATCACAAATTTGTTCGTTTCGTAAAGTGGGATAGGAAGTTCACGCGACTAGAACGGAGGATTATTGGAAATCTTCGAGAAATACTAGAAAGTTTTTTTTACTTAAAATAAGTGATTCGAGCACGTTAAAGCATCCTTTGCCCATTTTCTCCCTTTTTCCACTACGAGTTACGATCTAATACGTACATACACTTTCACTCCTAAGTATTAGAACACTTATCGAATGTATTCTGTAAATGTTACAAGACACCACAAAATCGATGAAAGTCTGAAACGAGTATTGTTTAGGGTGATATTATAGTTCGATGGATATCATTTACGCAAATATGTAATAATAAGCATGACCTAAAATATGTCATTTTTTTTACGAAACATCACATTTTCTTCATGTGGCTCAGCTGTTCCGATACTTATGAGCGATAGTTTACGTGTTTATAGTCGCGTGTGTAGAAGAATTATATGTGGGAATGGGGTTGTAGGGCAAGATGTACCGAGTACGAGTGATTTTCCGGAAGTCCAATTATATCGACTAGCGACTATACACGCGAGGACCTGGCTTTATAAAGCCGACCTTTATCAGGGCACCTAGGATGCGGCCATGTTGTTATCCAGTCTGGTGGATCACAGAAAACCGAAAATTGCGCGTGTTTTCTGTATTTATTTTTTATTCGTGATATTCTTTATTGCGTTCGCGAGAACTATTCAGATCGTTGTACCTAATCATCGTTGTATTTGCACGATAAATAACCTCTATGATGATGATAATAATAATAATAATAATAATAATAATCGTAATAATAATAATAAAATCACCAACAATAATAATAAATAAGCAACGGAATATGGCGTACAAGGTGAACAAATATTATATAAAGGATAAATAAAGTACACAATCTGTCAATAATAATAATCATAATAAATATAATAAATACCGATGACAATAATAAATACGATAATGCTGCAAATAGTCATTAATAGTAATAATAATACTGACAACAATTCGCAAAAAGAAAAAAATAATAAAATACTATACAGGCCGTAAAATCGATTCGAACAATTCAAAAAACGATACCTAAGAAAGCTAAGTGTGGCCGGCGGTCGAGGTGTTCAAACGAAACGAACCTCGATCGAATCGAAAGCAAGTGGAATGATATCCAGCGAACATTTCCACTTTTTCCCCCGCTGATCGATCGTTACGCCCGTTTCCGGAATTAACAAACACGCGTCAAACGGGTGCACTTGCGCTCTTTCTTTCTTTTTTTTTTTTCTTTTTGGTTTTTACCGATGCTTAACGTCACTTTCTCACACTCATTCACTCTCACTCACTCTCTTTCTACCCGAACCGACTGACTAATTTTATTCGAGTTAATTAATTAATTAATTAATATTGCTTAGGGTTTTATTGCTCTACGTTCGCAAACGACAATCGCAGGGCGCAATCGTCAGTACGCGCACGCTGCCCCCGCAGCCTCGAGAAAACTCCGGAAACAAACGTGTCACCAAGTGGCCGGCGGAACTAGAGAAAGCCTTTCGGTATTTCTTTATTTCTTTTCCCCTCTCTAATTATTTCTTTCTTATCGGCCACGACCGATCCCTCGAGTCTGTCACCTCGAGGAATCCCCATTAGATCGATCCATATATTATAATATATATCGTCATGGCTCGCGTCGTTTCCCTTCCGCGATTCACCTGTTTTCTCTCGTTTTCTGTCGTATTTTTCACCTTTCTGCGTCCTTTAATCCTGGTGGCAAGAGGTACGGCTAGTCTGTACATGCAACACGGTGATTATTTGTCGGCAATAATTATTACAAAAGGACTCGTTTGGATCCACGCGGTTGATCACCGGGACATGGCATCGGTCCACGCTCCTCTTTCCACCTTTGACACGCGATCCCTCTTGCTCGTTGCTCCCCAGAAATATGGCACTGTGTGATTGTTGCCTTTTGAAAAAAATGACAAAATTGGCCAAGATGGTTGGATTCTTTGATCTGACTTCCCTGTCGTTTTGTTTTCGTTGTTTAGACATACAAATTTCGTTGGATGTTTGTTCACTCTATGAGAAATTGACGCGATTATCATCGAATTTTAAAGCTACATTGACTTCAGTTTCTAATGGAAATATCGTTGTTCGAACGTTGTTTTTAGTTGCTGTTCTGCTCACAAAGATTTTCTTCTTTTGGACGCAATTGAGCTTTGCACCGCAGCATAGTTTAATTACCGATCAGCCTAAGTGGTTAATTTTATTTTGGTTTGACAAGAATCATCGAAATAGTACAATTGACACTGTACAATAAAGCGGTACTGGAACTTCATTTATCGTAATAAAGTAAGGGACAACAAATATACGTGAAATCCTAGGTGTGCTTGTTACTACAGGAAAAGTGCAGATACCTCCAAAAAGGACACTTGAGATTTCGTTGTATAATTATCTAGAAATTGGTGATTAAGTATAATTCGACAGGAAAGAAGTTGTTCTAGGCGAACGTCAATAATTATGTGGTTGAAATGATCGTTAATTGAAAATTATGTACATGGTCAAAATTGAAATTTTGAAGGGAAGAGACTGAAGTCAAGATCGAAGAATCCAACTCAAAAACCGTGAATCTCAGAGCAAGAGTTACGTCGGGACAAATAGCGAGAAGAGCGTGGCGAGACGATCGAAAAAAAGTTTCGTGGCCGAAGCAAATCATCGTTTTTCTATCACGTTAAAACTTCGATGTCCGCCCCTATAATGTATAATTATATAATTCGTTGTGTCGAAACATTGCTTTTGACCGTTACGGGCCGTTGTTATTAAGACTTTTTTTTTCCCTTACTTGTTATATTGCTTCTATAAAATATGTGTATAACAATATTTTACGCATCTATTAGTCGAATCTGCTCTACATATTACGTGTGTACACGCCTGTGTAATGACTGATTTTCGTTCTACGTGTTCTGGTTTGTGTCCTATGTATATGTTTTTGTGTGTACGCGTCATGGGTTTTCTGTTTTACGTTTGAACTCGCATATATCCGAACGTGTCATGTCTGCGAACGAAAACGAAACCAGAACTGTATAAATATTAAAAATGAACGAATTAAATATCCCACGTCATCGACGATGCACGATATCTACCCGGAAGGAATATTTTTTTTTTACAAAAACTACAATATTCTTCCACGAGATATTTAAATACTATGATGGGCGAAGGAACGTAAAAAAAAAAAGAACTCTAATATCTACAATAATTTTGTTCACTCTACAGGAAATAAATTTTCGTTTCTGCAGAGAGTAAAATTTCCCAAAATGGATGATTCTTCCTTTCATTTCGCTTCCAGAACTGTGTACTAATTTATTAAATCTACTCACATCGAAACGACTCGGAATATTGTTTCACGAACTTTCGTCTAATATTACGAATTTGCTTCGCTAAACAAAATTTCAATTGGTAAACGTTTCCTTTAAGGAACAAGTTCACCCATTTTGCCCCTACCGAAACGTTCCCTCGTCCATCGTTCACCAATCCAAACACGTTTCGATTATATGCGAGGTCTCATCGTCGAATCGCACAGACCAGTATCATTGTCCCTGTCGATAACGTCGATCGTCCATCGATCGCGTCGACCCTCGATCGACAATAATTCGGCTCAATTTCGGAGCCATCGAAAAGGAACATGCAAAAAGATCGCTGTGACTTCGTGGACAATCTACGTTTACGTTCGGAAGTCACGAGATCGACGATCACTTCTGTGCGATCCAACGAGACCTACGATCCACTTCAGAAACGAAATTCGAATCTCTCCTAGACAGCAAAGTTCGTAGAATCGCGAACCACGTGTTCGAGGAATCGAAAATCGGGCCGGAAGTTCTCGTCAGGCCCCCCCCTTAACTGGGTGGTGCATCCACGGTGTCGATTTATTGCATTTCTCGAAATCCATCATCACGGTGAATCCCCCTTTCGCTCAATAAATATCCCTTGGAGAGAGGCTCGCTTCTTCGTTCACTTTTAGGCAGCTAAGTAATTAATAAATAGTGTCTCCGTAACGAGCTCGCGACTAGAACCGTACGCGCTAGTAAATATATATATACTATATATATAATAATATAATATATAATATAATAATATAATATCATAATGTAATAGGTATAACCGACTAGAGTGACTAGACTGCAGTGTGGACGTCACCGTTCGACGTGTTTCTCTCTTCTCTCATTTCTATTCTTCCCTCGTTATTCTCTCTCTCTCTCTCTCTCTCTCTCTCTCTCTCTCTCTCTCTCTCTCTCGTTTCCCTTGTTTCGTTTTTAAGACTTAAACATTACTGGACGTTTTTATTAATGTTAGACATTATTTAAGAAACCGACACCGCCTCGTATCTCTTTCGCGTCATCGCATTCCTACTTCGTGTGTGTGTTCTTACCCTCCTCTATTACGTCTCCCCATTTTCTACTGGCACTTTTCTACTTAAAACCTACGGGCAAACCTTTTGTGTTTTCTCTCTCTTTCTCTCTTTGCTACTCTTCCCGATCGTTCATCTCGATCATCAGCCGGGCACCGCCGCCGGGGACGACCGCTAGCTCTCCAGAACGTCGTCCACGTCGTCCACGTCCTCGTCTGGATACCCAGACGTAGTTCGATGGTCGTAGCGCTGCTACAAACCACGATTCGTGGTCTGCTGGTGTTGCGTGGTTGCGTTGTTGTTGTTATTATTATTGCTGGCGACTGTCTGCTGCGCTGGCGGCATCTCGTCGTCCCGTAGACAGGCGGACTCCAGATGTTTGTTCAGATAGGACTTCAACGCGAAGGTTTTGTGACATCGGGAGCACTCGTAATTCTTGTCCGCTGAATGGGTCTGCATATGGGCGCGCAGGTTCGATCGGTCTGCGAACGCTTTGCCGCAGTGCGCGCAACCGTATGGTTTCTCGCCCGTGTGGCTCCTCAGATGGCCCTGGAGCAACCACGGTCTGGAGAACATTTTCCCACATACGCCGCAGCTGTGGGCCAGCTTGTGGGTCAACACGTGCATCGCCAGGGCGGGCATGCTCACGTACGCTTTGCCGCAATGGATGCACTTTTTCGCCGATTGGGAGTCCAGGCTACGATGGGTCTGCTTGTGCCGGGACAGGTTCGATGAGGTGGCGTACTGTTTCCCGCACTCGGTACAGGTGAACTTGGGCCGGTCCGTTGTGGTCACCTCCTTGTCAGGGACTACCGTGCCGTTGGTGCTGCTGCTGCGACGTTTGGATCTACCGTCAGAGACGAAGAACGCCTCGTAGGTATAGGCGACCGTCTTGGTGCTGGCGCTGTCGTACAGGGAGAATGGGTAAATTGATGATTGGAACTGTTTTCAGGCTCTGGCGCTTTACATGTAGGAACAGTCGTGTGTGATCCAGTTATTATGCAGCGGAGATCAAGAAGCAATCAGGATGGAACGTAACAAGAGGCTAGGTACATGCAACAAATCCACGGAATGAAGTAACGAACATCTATCCAAACATATCGAACCATACAATATATTAACCCTTAACTTTTAGACCTCTTCAGAGATGAATTCGAATTTTTGCTTTGGCTATCGCCATCCAACGGAGAATTTTTCGAAGCTGTAGGCGTTCAAGTACACTCAGTTGACAGTAGAGCGGCGAGCTACTTCCGAAACGTGTAGCTCGTTTAATGGAAGATATGAGAAAGGAAGAGAAGGAGGGGAGCATTTCATCTTAGGCCTGCTAATAAACGCAGGGTTGTTTGATAGCCGAGTTGATGGCGGTATATACAGAAACAGGTGATAGATTTGAGTAGTACCAGGAAAAGTGATATCAACTTCGAAGCCCTTCGGTGGCGAGTGCAAGAGGAGCCACCACAAACGATAACAAGAAATACCCATTCAATTGATTATTGAAAGTGTTTACAAATTACTCATTCATCTCTGAGAAGAGTCGTACTATAGTTAAGGGTTCCACGATTAGCATCAAACCCATAGACTCAAAAACCAAACACCCAACAAGCAATCGTACACAAGAAGCAACACTGCGACATCGAGACAGAGTCGTTCTTTCGAACACCTTTCCATACACGTTCCTCCCATCCTCCCCCTCTCTATGGTCGCATATCGGTGTGCAAACAACAAGGACCAGAGGGTGAAGAGGGGTGGGGGGGCTGAATAGGTGGAGGGTAATCGCATTCGTCGGCGATCAATGATTCACACTCCAGGATACTCACCCATCCCTGCCCGCTGAGCAGTTGGCAGCGTTCGCTTCGGCGGTGGCCGGCGAATGAGGCTGTCCCGACTGTTCTTGTTGTCGCAGCTGGTTGGTCTGCGAGCTGGGAACCGGGACCAGCACCGAGACCGGTATCGGCTGCGCGGTGGACGCCGATTGGAGCTGCGCCGGCTGCAGCTGCCCGTTCGCCGCGACGCCTGGCTGCTGCGGAGGAGGCGGAGGAGGAGGCGGAGGTGGCGGAGGTGGCGGTGATAACGTGTGAATGAAGACGGAATGCGTGGGCGCAGCTGGGGACGCGCTTAGATCGAGGATCGCCTGCGCGGCTGAGAGATCCTCTTCCGCGGACGTGCGGATCTCTGAGGTGGGTTGGAGGCTGTAAGGACGATAGATGTCCTTCTTCTTGGGTGGTAGGGATAATGCTGTTCCGGTGCTGGTGAAACACATGGACAGGCTTTTTCTGGGCGGCAGACTCAACGACGCGGACGACGACGGCGGCGTTGTCGGGGATGGGTGTGGTTGGTGCAAACTGGAACCGTTCACCGCCACCGGAAGCTCCTGAGGCGCGCTGGGTGGCGGAGGAGACGGGACCACCGGTCTGGCCAGCTCCGCCGCCGAACGGAGGGTCGCGTATTTAGGCGGCTCCTCGTGGTTGATCCACGACTCGTGCGTGTAACCTGGAATCGAGAGATATCGGTGGATGTTTTTTTTTTTTTTTTTTCAGTTTAATTTCATTGTTCAGGGTAGGATGATTGTACCAGAAGCGCTTGAAAAAACGATCTTGATTGACTTGTAGAAGTACAGAGGGAAGATAGGACATCAGGTCTAGAGACTCAAGGCAGATCCCAGATAACACATGACGCCTAATAACGCCTTGAAGTCGGCTTCAAGGCGCCTGAGACCTAATATAACCGTAGAATGGTTGTGTTCAAGGCGTCATGTGCTATCTGGGGATATAGTAGGACTATATAAGGATGAGACACGTGGACTCTGGGAGAGTGTGATTAGAAAGATGAATTGAATTGGTTTCTAGGAGTGCAGAGGAAAGATAGGAAGACAGGGTCTAGACTCTAGAGACTCGTGTCAGATATATTAGGAACTGGAATCGGATCACTTTGAAACAAAGGGGTTTAAATTGTTTCAATCGAGAATCGGAGAAATTCAAGGGAAGTATTTGACGATTGAGAATCACTTTGGGATCAAGAGACTTGCATCTAATACATTTACCTAGGACCGACGATCTAGTCGAAAGTCGAGGAACCTTAGACCTAGTGATACGGGATAAGTGATTCCTGATTCCAATATCCCAAACTGGGGCTCGAAGTCCAGAGGCATATTTAAAAGTATTACTGTCCTACAAATTATTCAGTGACTTTTTACTAATGTCGCTTGTTCGACGAAATGGTTCGTCTTATATGCTGAGACGTTTACTTGCATGTCTATTCCGACTGGTGGATAACCATGACAAACTTTGAAAAATTTACAAATTTATAACTTAACCAACTTCTTTACTTTCGTATCGTAATAAAAGTTACAAAAGGTTTGAGAAAATACACTGTTATAACATTTTAATCATCGTTATAAGAGTGTACTGGCAAGTCATTTTGACTTATTAGGGAGTTCTAATTGTAGGAAGTCTGAATATTCCTTGGATTCCTCCTCAGTTTCGTTAAAAAAACATACGTAATTACTCCATCTTTCATGTATATTCAAAGCATAATACCGTACAGTAGATTAAATTAAAATAACATTAACATCACATATATATGATCGTCAATGGGAACGGCGAAAACAATTGCCAGCTGAGCCGTAGAACGACAGCCTTTAATTATCCCCGAGGATTTTCTCGTGTGGAACGAAACGTTCCGGCGACGAAAATTAAAGGGCACCAATAACATAACATTTCTTGCCCATTACTTTCTCTGTTCACTCGGCAGCCGGTTCCCTCGATCACGGGTCTTGCCATGAATATTTGAATTCGTGAATCAGACGGAACCGGTGCGCCGTTTTCATTTCCTGGTGTCGACACACACACGTCAGCTGCTTCCACCATGTGCTACTGTTAACGAGAAACCAACCGATGGGGGGCTCGAAAAAGTGAGAGGGTAAAAAGGTTTCTCTGTAATATATCGCGTGGGGTAACTGTTGCACGGCTTTTGAACTGTTCCTGGCGTCCCTTCGATCCCTCTGGATCAGCTTTCTAGTCACATTTCTTCCTGATCTCAGTTTTTCTTTCTTTCTGCTACATTAGAGGATATTGAATCCTATATTTTGAATATAGAAGACAGCAAAACACAATGAAACTTTCAGCCCACGATGCGTTCAGAGACGATTGGAAGACCTTGGAGGGTCTACCAAGATCCATCCAGACATGATCGGCGTCTTTGAGTGGTATCCAAATCTTCCGAGAACCAATAAGACGCTTTGGGTGGTGTTCAAGAACCACTGGAGTAGCTCAAGGCCATCGTCGCGAAGCACCGAAGCCCTTCCGATAACTTACAAGGTCACTTGGGGAACTTCGAGAATCAGCGAGTGTCACTCGATTCGTACAGAAGACAATTTCTAAGTATCACCAAGAGTTGAAAATAAGATAGTAAGAAGTGTGGAACAATTGCAGGTGGTTGAACTGGATAAGAAAAGTATGGTCGAAGATAGATAACAGGATTGAGGAAGAACGACTGAAAATGGCTAATGATGAAGTGAAAGGTATCCAAAGGTGGTGATAGGAGAATGGACCAGATATGGTCATCCACGTCTTCCTCGAGAAGAGCTCGGTTCAGTCCAAATTCTCTATAGAAAATTAAGATTCTTGGATTTGGTGATTCCAACATAGGTTCCCTTACTTAACAGGGTTCTTCCTTAATAGGGTTCTTCAATATTCTACAAGGTATCTCTGACTCCAAGATGAGTTCTATAGTACTGATCCTACGGAGTTTCTTTCTCTTCGAAGGAACTATTCGAAATAATACAATAGTAAAATAGCAATTTGGTAATACCTAGACTGCAGAGCTATATGCAAAATCACATGTTTCGAAGTGATTTGTAAAGCCAGATGTAACGATTGCATTCGTTCCTCAAGGATTTTATTATCCCAAGAATACGACAGACAATGCTAACTATTTATATTTCACATAGTCTCATATGTTATAAATGCATTGTAGTAACAACAGACTCGAAAGCAACGAAATGCTGAATCAGATCCAGTCACCCAAAAACAAACTATGCATCGTACTCTGAACAGAGCATTATCACGAAACTGCTGACATATCACCAACGAAAAAGAACTCCACGCAAATATCCACCCACGTTTATTTCATTACCGTTCACCTATAGATCTACGGATATCTGGAGATATTTTTCCACCTATGGATCCTCCTGTCGCATTAAAATCGGGTACGATTCGCATGACAGACAACACAGAGAACTGTCATAATTGTTCGACGTTAACGGGCACGAATCGTTCGACTAGTTCGGCCCCCCGAACTTTCTCGAAAAGCGGCGTACAAAAGGAAGAACCATTCGTATATTTCGGACAAACTCAGCGGAAATCGGCATCGAGCGTTTTCGATTCGATTCGTCTCGCGTGATGCAACTCCCAGTTCCTTAAATTGTTTAACCGAGTGGGAGGGCGAGCCTTCTTTTTATTGCTCTTGACCACGCGACAGGACACGCGACAGTCAGCCTTCGATGCCTCGTTTGCTTTCCACCGGATACATGTATGGCACGATCGATACCCGCCCGCTGCGACAGTATAACGCGACACTAGTCGTATTGTTGCGAGAACCGTGCTTGGAAACACACGGGAGCGCAGAAATTATCTGTCAGCTGTGTAGCCCTCCGTGAAAGGGTGGACGGGTTGGGCGGTGAAGGGTGAGGGAACACCCGCGAAACAGCGGAGCCGGAAGTCCTTGTTGCTTTTGTGCCTTCGACCGAGAGGAGGCTCCAATCGATACAACTTGTTAGAGGCATTGGAGAATTTCTATTATGCGACCTAACAAGACGGCTCAATGATGCGAGACCGATATACCCTCTTTTTCTTTCGGGCTACGATCGCTTAAAGAAAAGGGAACCTCGACGACTGAAGATGGAATATATTCGAGATATGGACGAATAGTTTGTATCAAAGTAGATTTTATGGAATATGGTAAACCTTTTTTAAATCGTATATACTGTAGTGGACAAAAAAGTTACCATTTTGGAAATATGGTCGAATAGTTTGTATTAAAGTAGACTTTATGGAATATGGTAAACCTTTTTCAATGGTAATCGTTTATACTGGACAGATATGTTACCATTTTGGAAATATTGATGAATAGTTTGTATTAAAGTAGATTTTATGGAATACGGTAATCCTTTTTCAATATTAAATCGTATATACTGTAGACAGAAAAGTTACCACTTGTTCGATTTGTTTTATTTTTATTATGTTTTAACGTAGTAAATGGTAACTTTGATCCTCCGAATACTCATCGATGGTGTACTGTGCACGTTTTACAATCTATGGAGAATTCAATGTAACTACCAAAGACGAATTGCTACAGTTTTATCGACGTATCAGTATACGAATAAAACAGAAAGACACTAAAACGGGCCATAACGCTACACGTTAATACGATATCGAAATTATCAGCTAGAATCAACTTGAACGGATTTGTTACGACAACACAGGTAATAATTCACTACAATTCAAGCCAGACGTTATCTAGACATCGGATGTGTTCCGACCTGTATGCTGGTCATAACTTAGTGTGTTACGTTTCTGAAATAGAATCGTTTCCTCGTCAATCTAAAAAGAAATAAACTGCCATAGATCATACTCCACGAAGACAAGCAACATTATCATTAAAAATCGTAACAAACTAGCCTCGGTATTCCATAATACACGGACCATAAATCGCGGAATTTATAATCGTTACGGGACCGAGATAAGCTTGTCCGAACCGCAGGGGGCAACAAGTCACTCACGAACGTTGATACGAGCACGGAAGAACCCGTGAGGTCCAGAGCCATCGAAACAACCAAAATTCATACATAATTCATAACGGTGATCGACGACAAACCTCAAACAAAAGCAACAACAGTATTACACGATTACCACCGTGCCGTTCCATATTCATAGGAACATTACGTCCAATTCCAAGGGAGTAGGGGAGTGGTGTACATTCGCTACCAAGCAACAGAGCGGCGCCCAGTATCACCGAATCATTCGAAGAACGCAAGCGCCGGATCTGCCCCCCACCATTGTCAAACGCTGACCGGACCATATCGTCCACAAAACGCGTCTCGCGATTAATCGCTCGGCGTCCGCGGCTAATCGCTCGTATCGCAGCCCGTTAATCTCGAATCCCCACTCTACTGAACCAGATTCTCAACCATCATCCCCCATCCACGAAATACCTTCTCTCGATCTTCTACAAGAGGGTGAGAGGGAGAGAGAAAAAAAGAAAAACCTCTTCTCGTCCGGTGGAGCCATCAAGCCTGATGAGTCTGGAGATAAGACCCTTCCGAATCTAGAAGATAGACATCCAGAGTAACCGACTCCCCCTCCATCCTTCCAGATAAATCAGATCCAGGGGAATAAAAAGAGCCCCAGTCTGATGAATCGTGGGCGTTCGAAGTGGGGGTTACAGCTCCTTGGACCGATCGAGATAGGAGGGGCCCGTGACAGCAATAAATCAGAAAACTGTACTCGGCCCGATCGATCAACCAGCGCGCATCTATTATTGGCTGAGATAAAAGGGAGTCGACACACACAGAGGGAAAAGGAACGAGAAAGAGAGACAGTGGCCGTGTCTGGAAGTGCATTTCATCAACGCCCGAGAGGGACAGAGAGACACGATGAGAGAGGGTTTGGTGGCCGGGGGTGGTAGGGGTAGACAAAGGGAGACGGGCCAGGGGAGAGGGTGAGAATCAATAATGTCGAATGAACGCTCTGCACGCTCCCACGAGTCTGTTGATTCTAGCCTTTAGAACGCCCGATACGTAAGGTTCCCTTTTTGCCATTGTTAGTCTCCGTCGATCGTTCGCCGACCACGATCGAATCGTGATCTCGGTGTACACATACAGAGTGTCCCACCTGACGTGAACATCTTTAATATCCCACTTGTCTTCGAAGATAGAAAGAAAAAAATTCGAACGGAAAATGTTCTTTCGTTGAAAGGGGGTCAAAACAGCGATGAACAAAAAACTTTTCCGAAGGTGATATTTTTTCCAAATTTTAAGGTCATCGATGTTTTCTTGAAATGAAACGACATATTTTTATCATCGTGGCGTAATAGTTGAGATCAAGACCAATCCAATGACATTCATGTAAACTTGAGTATAAAAAATCCACAAATGTATGAGAGTAGATTTAAATAATAAAATAACTAGGATAGAGCGATTAGTGCAACAATGAATCGAAGTTGATGAATGTTACTTTGAGAATTTGTTGAAATAAATTTTCTGCAAAACAAAAACAAACGAAATACTTAAGGTGTTCACGTCAGGTGGGTCAACCTGTATACCAAGAATACTCGCTGGTTATCGGGGATGCGTGGGATTCAGGGGGGGTGGGGGTGGACGAGTGACCATGGACGAGTACGATTGTGTTCAGTATGTCTCGAGGATCTGTAGCGAGCGAAATCGGCGAACCGTGCTCTGGAAGAGACAATGCCGAAGTGGAGGCGAGTTTGCGCAGCGAGACGGAACGCCGCCGCCGTCGAGCTGCTGGCGCGTGCGTTTTCTACGCGGCACAGTAACGCAACTGGTAATTGGCTGATCGTGATTACGTAGCCTGGTTGTCGTTTCTTTCTAATTTTGACAAGAAGCAATTGTTCATTTGAACGTGGAGAAGGAAATTTAATTTTTCTTTACTGTTTAAATTGCCGTTATTTTTTGGATAAAAACGGTGGCCTTTTTTGGTAAAAAATTTATGTATAGATATAACGTACGCACTACGCTGAATTTCAAGTTTTGTCAGTTTCCCAAAACGAATACCTTCGGCAGCCTGAAGGTTAACCATTGTCCGTCCCTTGCGTCAATTTGACATATTTTTCTCCTAAGAACGGATGTTATTGTGTCATGTGTAGGCAAAATTTAGCTGAGGTTCCGTGATTTTTATTTTAAGGAACTTCGAAAATTAATTTATCATATTCATTTTTCACCACTGTGTCAATTTGACATTCGAGAGACGAATTATGAAAAGAATGCTTTGAACTGCTGTTTCGTTGGGTATAAAAATTCAGCTGTGAAGGTAGATTTGTCAATTAGATTAATGTTGGAACGAAAATATCCACGATGGATCAACCCACGCAGAAAGCAGTCGGAGCAATAAAAACGTTACGTGACCGCGGGGAAAATGCAATTCGTTATTCATGATGGAATTACAGCAAAAGGAAGCCGTTTAATCGATGCCCCCCCCTCCCCCTGGTGTTACATATTTTCGACCTGGATTCTGCTCGTCCAACGCGGACTCCTTTGCAGAAGGCCATTTCGAATAAAAACTAAATCAGAAAAACAGGACAAAATGAACAATAAAAAAACACGTTAGAAAATATTAACTAACCACTGTTACAGAATCGAAACAAGCTAAAGTATTTTCCACTTAAAGAACAAGATTAAAATGAAGAAAGTTATTCTGAAAATACATAGTATATTGTTACAAATGTCTATAGGATACGTATGACCAAACAGGCCCAGATTGTGATTTTTAAAGCCCCTAGATTTAGAAGCAGGGGACGTGGGAAATAAATTTAAAAAAATTTAAATTTCTTCTAAATAAAATTAAATAAGATTTAATCATAACGAAATGGAAGGCTCAGAAGGGCCCCCTAGAAAGTGGGGCCCAAAGCTACAGGCCCCTTAGCGCTGTGACCAAAAGGTAATACAATTAGTAGAAAAATCATTAAAAATTGACATTTGATAATTAAACGATTCGATAATTGACGATAATTAAAACAACACGAGAGAGAACGACAGCGAACAAGTTGCCGCAATTCACCGAACAGTTCGATCCAAGCCACACGTTGTCGCAGAGGCGCGCACGTGTTACATAACAGTTCGCGCCATGTTAAAGACCGGAGTGTCAGGCGTTACAATCGATAACGAAATTCAATTAACAGCTGCTCCCGCGCGGTTTTCACGATAATTCGCTCGCTTACGCGATTAGCTGTCGCGTGCGGGACAGTTTACGTAACGTGTGTCGGACACTGTAATTATCAGCTGTACGGTACGATGCGTCGATGCACGATGGGGTAAACTAGCGAGGAAAATTTAAAAAAAAATATTAATAAAACGAGCGAGTATAATACAGAGAGGAGAAAGGAAACGCTCACAGAATTTATTGAATTTATTCGAGCGGATAAGTGTAAACGAGACACACGACTTCCGTGTACGGGGACATAAATCAACTTGTGGAACGTATTCAACACGTACCACCACAGTCGGAGAGGCAATCAAGTCGTGTGTCCGAGTTAGGAACCGGGGGTAGTTGTCTGTTATTTTTCAAGCCACGTAAGTGCACACACCGACTCAACTAGTGGCTACTTAACGATTAATCATGGGAACGGTTGAGAAATCGAATTCAGTTCTTATGCACTGGGCTTGATAGCTTCCTCTAGTATTGAATGAAAGTTATAACCTCGGTGTCCACCTTGAGGCACATTCGGGACAGTATGTACGATAAAACTGTCGCCGAAATTCTGCGAGATTTCGTTCTCCACCGAGAGCCTTTTTAGACGAATCATGAATATACTACTCTCGGGATGGAACTTGACCTAAATGAGAGAAAAAAATGTGTTTCCCAATAGACAGAAGCTTCATCTTGCATCTTTGAAATACGCAACCAGAATCCTTTTTCGATTCAGAAATCCTGAAATTTTCATCTTGGACCTTCGAAATACGAATGCAGTATCGTTCAAGTGCTTCAGGATAAATTGATTCGGATATCCTGAAATTAGGAGCAACGAGTGGTCAAAAAAGCGTCGGAATCCTTCGAGAAGCTGTAATAAGACAGCAAGGCTGGGCGCAACAGTCGGCCCCGCGGATGCAAAGCAGAAAAACCGCTCGGAGCGTGGACAGAGCCTGAATTTCTCGCGAAGAGACGCGTCGAGATCGCGAGAAACGGGTGTGGAAAGCGGTCGCGAAATCCGAAAGGGAGAAAAAAAAAATAGCTTGGCAGACGGTTCGTGGAGCGAGAGTGGGGCAGGGTGACCCAAATGGGTGACGCTGGTTGAAAGAGAAAGAGAAGGGCTCATTCCTCCCCCGTTTCGATCCGCCCAAAGATCCGCAGTAAAATCAACGATCGGGCCTTTGCTGGCGCGGGTGTGTCGCCCGAAAGCGAGTTGTATCTGCGTGCGACTCATGGCCGAGAAGAGAAGTCATCGTTGGACCCGAAACATGGAAAATCATTAAGGTTAGAGAAAATGAGACATTATCCAGGGCGATATCCCCGATGGTAGGACGGTCTCGTGGGGTGGCCAGTGTTATCGTCACGGGTGACTACCGCAATTTCTCTATAGCACAACCGATCGGCCAATCGGCGGGTGTGTCACCCCCGTGGCTCGACGCATGGCCAGACTCCGATAGGGAGAGAGAGAGAGAGAGAGGTCGAAGGTCGTATCTCCCTGGGGTAAAAATACAACTGGGGTTCGTTTCGTCGTAATTTCTTCTTTTCCTTTTTTTTTTTTTTTTTTTTTTTTTTTTGTGGCGAAGAATCTAGGATTCGCGTGTAGAAGCTTCGAAGTGATTGCGATAGGAGGATCGCGTGTAGAAATGAAGAACGTTTAGCATTCGGGAACGTTCTCTGTAACCACGTGGAATTGCATACTAGTTCTGTATCAGGATACTGGTTGAAAGTTCGTGATTCGATAAATCTAGTAAAGCGGTCAATGATAAGAATTCAAATGGGTATACACTCACCATGATAGTATAGAGCTCCGGAGGCGTTAAGCGGCGGCGGACTGGGCGCAGTGGCACCAGCGGTAGGACTGTGGGGACTCCAACAGGTCTGCTGATGATTGACCTGTCTGGTATCGGTGTCCCCGACCACGTCGATTTCCTCGTCCTCCGGTTCATGCCTGTGCTGACGTTTCTCTAAACAGACAGTGGTCTGTTGGATACCGGGCGTGTGCTCGTGCATCATACCCGTATGATCGTTCTCGTCCTCTTGCGTGGTCGTTGCGTCGTCCACGCGATCCGGCCATGGATAGGCCTTCCATTTCTTGGCCATGAGGCACCGCGGCATGCTGCTGGCGGCGCAATTCTTCCTTGTCGTAGCTATTGTCGCCACCGCCACGGGCCTGGCTGGTTCGCGCACCGTGCCGCGTTACTGTCACGGGGATCCGTTCGACCACAGGCGATCGAGTCGACGACGTGACAGCAGTATCCCTGTCGCGAAACGCCGCCCGCTTAGCTACACCACTACTACGACGTACTACACCCTCACCAACCGCACCAAACGCACCACCGTACCGATCGACGGTCCCGAGGACGTCGACTACCGCGACGCCTAGCCCGCCGCCGCCACCGGCAGCAGCACCACTATCGCCGATGTCGTCGGGTCGTTCCTCGTTCCCCCAGCCGTCGACGACGTCGTCCACGTCGTCGATACAGCGACGTCGCCGTCTCCGTCGTCGTCGTCCGTCGTCGCCCAGGCCCGTCCGGTTCTGTGGCCTGTTCACCTCACGGACGACGATCGAGGTATCCGTAAACGGTGTCTGCCACGGGGGATTCCTCTTCGTCCTTCCTTGCTCGCGTTCGGGCGTGATCTGCAGCCTCGTCATCGGCACAGCGAGGGCAGCTCCTTCGTTGGATGCACCGCCACCATGCCAGCCCTGGCTGACTCGCACACGAGTATACCCTCCCCGGACGTTTTCCTGGTCTGAACACTTTTTCGTTTTGTCGCTATCCGTTGGAGGACTTACTTCGAATATTTGGATGGCTACCACTAAGAGAACTACTGTATTACTACTACTGGGATTACTAACGATTCGCGTTTTCCTGTTTTAATATCCTCTATCTGTCTCTTGCTCGCTGGTCGGTATTCTTGCGTGGTGTCCTTTTTATTTTGGCCCGAGTTCAATCCTCCCGTGTCCTCTTTTGATTCGTCTATTTACGGGTAATATTACTGGCTGGCTGAGCGGAACGACCGACTGGAATGACTGACTGACTGACTGACTGACACTGCTTGTCCGTCCGTCCGTCCGTCCGTCCGTCCGTCTGTGCGGATAATACTCTATCGGTCGCTCCCTGTCGCGGCTCTCGCCAGTGACAGGGGGTGCCCTCGAATACGATCACGACGACGGGGTGCGACTGTTTAGTCGGTGGCGCTGTCGGTCCGCTGCTTATCCCCCCACCTTACGTCACCTTCTATCCTCTTCGATCACTAGCTACAGGGTATTCTGTCCCAGTCTAGTTACCACGGGACCAGGAACCCCCGTCGTCCCTCCGCTGCGGCTCCCCTCGAGTCAGCATTGTCGGGGTGGCGCTGCTGTTGCCGCCATCGCCGCCGCCGCCGCTGCTGATGGTTTATGCTGGAGCGAGGGATGGCTGCGCAACCCCTCGAGGGTGCCGATGGTAGTTCTCGATTCCTGCAGGCCTTTTGATTGTGTGCGCGCGCGTGCTCCCAGCGTTTCCACGGGACCAAACGTGTATACATGTATGTGCATCGCCATTGGCGTAACGAGGGAGTTTCTCTGGCTCGGTATCAAACTTTGTTCTCCTGACCCCACGATGTCGCGGTTGCACGGGCTGTTTTCGATCCCAGTTTCTAGAGGACACATCGAAGGTTCAGATTTCGTTGGTCATGTGTCTTACGAGGTACACTGAGATTTCGAGGGCGAACGAAGAAAGTTTTTCGACAGGGAAATACCATGACCATCGTTTGGCGACACCACTGCGACCCGACGTCGGGGGTGTACGCCAGTAAAACGAGTCCGTATCCCCACAGACACATAACCTCTTTCTTTCTCTCTTACTTCGAGCCTGGATTCGAGTCTGTAGGTATTGTAAATGGTCTAACTGTCGCGTTCGATGTGTCTAGACGTTAACTACCCCTCTGGATCGCCAAGAACCGTACTAATTCCCTTTTTTTTTCCCCCGGAGTTCAGCCGAGGATCTGAACATTTATTCAAATTCGCGGGGGTATACGCTAAGCGGGCCGTAAATTACGGCCTAGCCCGATTTAAATCCCTGGATATCGGAGGCTAGTGAACCCTTGGCCCCTTCCACCGCCCAAGTTTCATCGAGGACGCCGCGATATGCTCCTCGTGGTTTCGATGCCGCGCCGTGTCGAATGTGAACGTCGCCAGGGAACGGAAGAGCAGAACAGCTGGTTGGGGTGCCACGGGCACCGGCCTTGTTTCTGCGACGAGTGCGTAAACTCTCCCGTGTGTGAGGAAGGGGATGGGGGTTGGAACGATGGTAATTCCTATGGAAGATTGGCTGCATAGTGGTGATGCTGTGTGTCGCCGGATACGAGACGCGACGAACTTGTTGGTTACGTGCTGTCGGTGTTGGTGCAAGGGTAGAGGGGTGGCGCACACGTTGGGGTGAACACCGAGGGGTTTAGCTCTCTATCTCCCCTTCTGCAAAAAGGGGGAAGGTCGAGGGTGGAGGAGCCAGAAACGAGAATGTCGGCTAGCTAGGAGGGAAGTAAAGGTCCACCGTGCGAGGGGTTAGAGTATATGTATGTGTGTATGATGTGGAGGAGGTGAGAGGGGAAGTCTCGCGCGTGCGCGTATGATCGGCATCGATTCGACGTCTAGGCAACACCTGGTAGCGCCCCACGTGCCACGTTAGGGTGGCACCAGCCACCCCGCGCACGCGATCCCCTTCGTATCGAATATCACGCTGCTGCCGCTACTGGCCTTCCTGTCTACTGTCTACTGACCCACGCCAACCATGTCTTTCATCGTTTCGCCGGCGGAGAAACTCCTAATGGGATAGACGAATCCCTGGACTTGTCCGGTCGCCGATTTCTGTAATGGCCAACCCACGGCCTCCCCCCCCCCCCCCCCCCCCCCAGGGTGGTGGATATGTATCACTGTCGGACGGGTTTGGAACGCTTCTTTTTATACCCTGTTACACCTTCTTTGGGACTAGGGGTTTCTTGTGTATTTCTTTTTACACTGTCGGCCGAAAGTATGAACACAGGGTGATTGATGGAACAGTAACTGATGATTCTGTTACGATATAATAAGAGTTACGTAATCGGTACATGTACAAATCAGTTTCGTGTTAATTTTATCATATCTTTGTGAAGAGTTATCTTTGTTGAATTAGAGTTTTTCTATGTTTTTAATTATCAGAACTGGTCCCACACTTTCGGCAGGTAGTGTAGTTCCTTCTGTTTTATTTGTTGATTTAAACCTTTTTGAAACTAATCAAACTGATTGAAAAAACCTTATATAACCAGAGAAGGAAACAATGATAAAGTAATCCATTGGAAGCGAAGAAGTCCATCCCTTTAACCGAAACAAAGAATTGTTTATAACTTCGAAAATATTAATCTTTCGACCCATGTCCATTAGGACTTCTTTTCATCATTTGACGAGTACTATCTACCCTGCAAGTTTCGAACCCTTTCTTTGTATCACCCTATACAGAGTGTCCCGAAAAGATAGAACAATCCGCAACCTGGATATTCCTCATGCAAGTACAAATCCAAAAGTCCTTTACCGTTCTATAACCTAAAGCTCCATTTCCAAGATATTACCAATGAAACGAACTCACACGTACACGCAGAAACAGTAAAAAAGCGCACAACCCAAATCACTCGCCTCTGTTTCTGGCCTAGCTGATTGGGATTCGTTTAACTGCTGATATCTCGGAAACGAAGCTTCAGATTACAAAACGGTAAAGGACTTTTCGATTCGTATTTCCACAAGGAATATGCATGTTGCGGATTGTCCCAACTTTTTAGAACACCCTGTATAGGAAGGCGCCTAACTTGTACACCACCCGCGCAGACACGTTCGCACGACCGCAAAGCAGAGCCCGTCGTTGTTCGCTCTTAGGTACGTGCATTTGTGACCGCGAACGATCAACCGCAATTTCTCTGCCGCACTGGGAAGGTTGTAGGTACGGTTTCTAGGTACCGATAGCTGGTCGACAATATCGAGATTGGTTCGAGCCCTATTTCGAGGAACAGATGGTTCCGTCGCGGTGTTTCGTCGTTCTGCCTTCGTCTCGCCTCTCTCTCTTAGCTCGGTGTGTCCCATTTACGGGCCATTGTCGTTCTTCCAGAGGCGTGTAAACTTTCTAAGCGTCGCGCAGCCCGGTAATAACCGTGCCATATGACAAAACCGGCCCGCAACAGCTGATGCGTCCGTCCCCTCTCTCCTCTCCGCCGTGGCTGTGCGCCCTCTCAATTTGGAGGATCGATCGACGGCCGCCGTTCATCGGCACCGCGCGTCCCACTGACAATCTTCACCACGTTATTGGTGGAAGTTCGGGCGGAAGATCGACCGTAAACGGTGGGAATAATCCGCGGTTCTCGTTGGTGTGATGTTTCAGCGAAGTGATATATTCTTTGACCCTTTAACGTCCAGACCTTGAAATCGTTATTTGAAAATTATTGGACTGATATAGGGTGAATGTTCCAATTACTGGCAGTGTCCCAAATACAGCGGTATTAAAATACAAATATCTCTATACATATAATGCGGTATATAAATATCTCTCCACCAGTGAATCGTACCATGTTCATACAAATATTTCAGGCTCCCTATATAACTTCATAGTCATAACTATCATTATCCACCGAGTTTAAACATCCCCTAAACAATATTCACTTCCCGACATTCATCAATCTCCTAACGCCCCGTAACCGTTCACTGCATATTCGATAACTGCGCCTGTTCGATAACTGCCGTAGTACTTACGAACGGAAACTTAAGGTTGCACGCCCAAGATCAAAATCCACGCACGTAACGAGCCTAAGGGGAGAGGTCGCATGGTCCAACGACGCTGTGTGCACCTTTCGTAGAATTTATTATCCGGCTCACGAGGGGCGGTAAAGGGGGGGAGGGGCGGCACGTGCGCGCTGGCGGGCAGGTGGGAATCAGGGAAAAATACCGGCCGGTCTGTCGGGTCAATAAACGAGATTAGGTCGTCGGGGATTTCGTAGTAGTAGGCGTGACATACACGTTCGAGGCGCAGTGCCAAGGATGCATACGCGCGGAGGTCAGTTAAATCACGGCCGAACACAAACCCCGGGGGAACGTTGTAATAAGACTTGGCTCCCGCGCCACCGTTTAATT